CAAATATTTGACAATTTTCTCTCTGGTTTTATTTGTCTCTTCCTGTTCTGGAATTCTAATTACATGTAGGTTGTTCCTTATGATAGTATCCCACATGAGACTTAAACTTTCTTCATTTTGTTTTGATCTTTTTTCCTGATTGATTTCTTTCCAAAGAAGTATTCAGGTATTTGTCTTCAATTTCATTAATTCTGTCGTCCATTGTTTCAGTTCTACTCCTTTGCCCTTTCAACATGTTATCTATTTCTGAAAATTTAGTATTAGTCTTCTGGATTTCTATCTGTAGATTTGGTATCATTTCTAATTTTTCATTTATTTTGTCATTTTGTTTTTATATTTTCTTCTGAAATTGTTCTAGGGTTTTCTCTGTGTTTTCCTTAACTCTGTCAGTATTTTCCTTGATGTGTCTCTCAATCTTTTGAAGGTACCTAAATATAATCATTTTGAATTTCTTATCAGGGATTTCCAATGCTGCTTCTCCTTCAGGAATGTATTCTGGGTCTGTATCCTGTCCCCTTATTTCTACTGCTTTATCTTGCTTCTTTGTGTGGACTGTTATGGTCTGTTGTCTCTGAGGCATTGTGGCATTGTATTCATAATTAATTGGTGATTGTATGTTGGAATGATTTGTCCAAGATTTGCTTTTTTTGGTGTTTTTTTTGATGTATCTGAATAAACAGGGTATTGTTTTCCTCTATTTGCTAGTTGGTAGCACTTATGCACTCATCACCTGTCTCCTGGTGGTTGTGATAAAGAATGAGAGTGGCTGCACAAATCTCTGTTAGACATTTGTGAAGAGCAGTTAAGGGTGAGTCAAGCTCTTTCTTGGTGGCCATTTAATGTTAGTCAGTTGGTGGAGAAGGAAGTGATGGCTCTCACTCAATAAGTGGAGGTGCAGGAGGTGTAGGTGTGCTTATGTAGTATGGGCATGGTTGTTGTTTCACACTTAGTTAGACAAAAACAACAATCAAAAAACAATAATAAAAAAAAAAGTAAAAGCAAGTGGACAAAGAATACACCACATAAACACACAGGAACAATCACCAAGGAGGAAAAAAAAAA